GAGAGAGAGAGGGTAAGCAAGGCGTCTAGGGGGAGACTGACATGACAGCGACCCCGTTCCCACCAGCTCTGACTCCACAGAAATAAATCACCCACTCTGTGCCCACGAGCGCACGGGGCTTTTTCACAAACAGCACTTCATCCTCACTGCAACCCCATAAAGAGGTCATCACTGTCCCCATTTCATAGATGAGGGAGCAGAGACCCAACAAGGCAGAGGTTGCTCAGGACGGTTCAGTGGCAGAGCTGGGACTAGAATCCAGAAGGGGACCCCGGTCCAGCGCTCTGCATATGCCGTGCGTCTCCTCTCACCCACTGGCACCCCAACCTGTGCTGTGCCTGGGGGCACAGGAGTCCAGCTGGGCTCAAGAACAGCATGGATGTGGGGGCCAGAGCCCTCAGTGCACTTGGCAGACTGACCCCTCTGTGACCTGCCACTGAGCACAGGCTGGGACCATAAATCAGTCACGTGGCAGGGATGGGGACAGAAGATCCCATAAGAGGTCTGTTTCCTGTGCTAACAGGCCAGGTGGCCTCCAGCTGTCCCCTGGGAGCAGTGTCAGAACGAAGCCTCCACAGACTCACAGGATGGGATGCCCTCTGGGGAGCTACTGGCAGCAACAGTCCTGTCCCACCGCAATCTTGCTCAGGTTTGGGTGGGCGGGGTGAGAGGAGGGGCGAGAGCAGGAAGAACAGCCCTGAAGAGGAGGGCGGAGCAGGAGCAGTGCTGATGCAGCCACTCCCGCCCTGCCCGCTGGCCTCCACAGCCGGCTCTCTCCTGGCAGCCAGCTCTGCTGAGGCAAAAAGGCTGGGTCTGACCCGGCCAGTGTGGCCCAGTGGTTGAGAGTTGACCTATGAACATGGTTCAATTCCCAGTCAGGGCACATGCCCAGGTTGCAGGATGGATCCCCAGTGTAGGGTGTGCAGGAGGCAGGAGGCAGCCGATGGAAGTTTCTCTCTCATCGATGTTTCTATCTCTCTGTCCCTCTCCCTTCCCTCTAAAATCAATTAAAAAAAACATATTTTAAAAAATAAAAAAGGCTGGCTCTGCTTACAGCTAACATCCTTCATTTACTTCAAACAACCAGTCAGTTCAACGGGGGGGTGAAAAACAGCCTGTGAACTTGCCCTTCCCCCAAAGTGTGTGTCCTCAGACCTCAGGCTCCAAGCAGGTCACGCAAACACTCAAATCTCAGAGGCTCCCAATACCCAGCCTTGCCCTTCACACCCTGGCCGAGCAAGAAGGAAGGAAAGTCCAGGGGGTGCAGAGAATCCCTCACCAGGACGAGGGGAGCTGGGGTGGTGGGACCGGGCTGGAAGTCCCTGGGGCTGAGGCAAGCATCCGGTCACACCCAGGCCTCTTTCCTCTCGCTCCTCCCTTCTGAGCTGCCATTGTGTTGGGCCGGCCCAGCACAGAGCTGGAGCCCCTGTCCCTCTCACCCTTTCCCGTGACTGGAAGGCAGTGGAAGATTCTGGCCCCTTCTCGGCCCCTTCCCCTTCACACTTTCCTCAGGCTGGAAGTCGCTGATCTCTCCACCCTCCTTTTCTCGGCCTCATCCTCAACCAGCAACACTACGGGTGCAGGAGGAGGAGAGCGGCTGGCCCAGCTGCCAGGTGGAGCTGGCTGTGGGTGGGGGGAGGGGCTCCAGGTGACGCGGAAGGATGGATCTTTGTGGGCAGCGCCCCTCTTCCTGGTAGCTCATCCTCTTCCACCCAAAACGATTGTACAACAGAGGGCAGAGGGGTGAAGGGCCGTGGAGCGGGTGAGGGAGGCTCACTTGGAGCTGGGAGCCGAGTGGTCTGCGTGGAGGAAGGTGGCGGTGGTGTAGTTCTGGAAGAGAGGCTGGAGGAACATCCCGATGGTGCCAAAGACACAGACGAAGACAAAGATCCAAAGGAACAGCCGGTCGATCACCATGGCGACATACTTCCAGTCCTCGCTCACCTGGACGGGGACAAATGATGCCCAAGGGTATCAGTCACATGATGCAAGAGAGGAGAGGAATGGGTATAAGCAGGTCCCACCTTACACACACACACACACACACACACACACACACACACACCACGCCTCTCCCTCAAGATCCCAGAGTGACCTTTCCAAAGCCCCCAGCAGTGGCCCCACTGCCTTCAGGACCTATCCAAACTCCCAAATCTGGAACCAAGACCCACCCATGACAGTAAGAGCTCACCCCCATCCTCTTCCGTGTTCTAACTCAGATTTACCAAACCCCACATGGGCTCTCAGTTCTCCATGCCTTTGGGTTTCTTTTCTGTCTAGAATTCCTGTCCTCTCTGTCTATACCTGGTGAACTCCTATACATCCTTCAAAGCCCAAATCAAATGTTACCTCTCCTATGAAAGCTTTCCTGATGCCCCTGATAAGATTGAACCCTTTGTCCCTTCTGGGTTCCTTTAACACTGTGTACACATTTCTAGCACAGTATTTATACTGCACTGTGTTACCATTCCAATTTGCATATCTACACCCCCTCCCTCTGCCCCCCCCCCCCGCCCCATACCTCTTCCTTCAGCTCCTAAACCACAAGGGCCCGTCAAATTCATCTTTGTAATTCCAGCACATGGAACACAGAGTACCAGTAAATGGGTGTTGAATTAGTCAATGAATGGCTCCCTCTGCTCCTTACATGACTGCACGGGGAGCGCCATCCAACAGTATCATCTTGAGCACCCAGGCCCCAGACGGTGAGGACTAAGTCCCAGATGTGAACAAATGAGTCAAAAAGACAATGGCCTCTGTGGGTTTCAGGGGAAGCTCTGGCTCCCCTCGGAGCTGCTCCACGCCAGCCTGAGTCCAGGTCTTAGCACACATGTTCATCTGCAGCCCCGCTAGCTGGGGGATGGGAAGGAGGCACCTGTGCCCTTCATTTAGTCAGCAGCTGAATAATGACTCATTCATGTCACAGGTGTGCCTGCTGTGTACCTGGCACCATGCTGGCACTGGGGATATAATGAGCGCGAGACAAACACATCCTGTGGGTTACAGTCTACTGAGAGAGATGGGCACAAAATAAGTAAAAATAAAAGAATTACACCCTGGCCAGGTAGCTTAGTTTGGTTGGAGCATCATCCCATGCACCAAAAGATTTGCGGGGTTCGATTTTCCTGGGGGCACATACCTAGGGTTTTGGGCTCAATCCCCCAGTTGGGGGCACATACTCAAGGGCAAACCGATCCATGTTTTCTCACAATCAAATGGTTCCTCTCTCTTCTCTCTCCTCTCTAACTAGTGGAGTGAGCTCTCTATCCAATCTATTCTCCCTCCCTTCCCTTTTTTCCCCGAAAACAAAGTAAAATCAAAACCCCCCGGGGAAGGGTAAACAAAAAAAAAAAAAC